AAGGTTTCTACTGATTCACTATAACCATTTTTGAATCATGACGTCAAGGGTGAGAAAAACACATGAATAAAAATTCTTGCAAAATACATTAAAATAGAATTGTCAATAAAATTACGTTTTCGTTCAATAGAATAAATTTGTAAAATATATGGAATACTCTTCTTTTATTTCAATAATTATTGAGGTAAAAAAGAGTTTTCGATATATTTTACAAGTCTGTTATAATCAATAAATAACCATACATTTAAAAAATCAATTGTAATTAACCAAGAAAAGAGCCACAATTCAATTTTAAATATATGGTAATTTATCTTAACGAAGAATAACGAAGCGAAAGAAAAAGTTTTCAGTAGATTTTTCATTTTTTTTATTCTATCGAATGAAAACATTATTTTATCAAAAAACATTTCTATTTTAATTTATTTTACACGAATTTTTATCATGTATTTTTCGTTTCGGACATTATTCAAAATGTCTACAAGAAATCGGCAAAAGCCTTCCATTCTAGATTAAAAGCTTACCATTCGGTGGCCTGATATGCACACCCAGATTGAGAGCTTGAAGTTTCGCTACGGCCACTTTGCAAAGGATCTTCCTCTCGATATCGGATAATGTTCGCAATGATGTTTCTTGTAGAGTCACACGTCGACCTCCTGTGCCTGCCCATGTGCATTTTCCCTACGACAGAAAAGAAATCATGTAAAAATCTCTGGCCAACTGAAGACTAGCTATTGCATTTATGAATTGTGTTTGACAGATCTTAAATGAATTTCTAGCCCGTCACTGTGAACGAAAGATAGGCTAACAAACCGTACAAACCGAATTAAGTATAGAATGTCTCATCATACGACAAGTTCCAGAACAAAATTTAATTCTAGGATCGTAATGTACTCCTTGTTATCTTATGCAAAGATTATGTAAATTGATCTTATCATGTAAATCCGCGGAAAATTAAAATTTATGTACTTGTCACCGAAATAAATCGTGGCTTTCAAGTTTGTTCTCAGTGTTATTACGAGAGATAGTTAGTTCGTTTGAATCTTAACTTGTATAACTTGAGCAAATTTAAAAAACCTACTGAAATCGCGATATATCCTTTCCACATTTGTGCGTGCACGTGCATTAAGTCGCAATATAGTCGCACGCTAGATATGTTTCGTAAAATTTATATAATAGTTCAGAAAAGATAATCCCTATGTACTCTAGGAATTCATTCATCAAGAAGGTGCGGAATAATATCGAGGAAATGCGAGTTATAACGAGGAGATGCAATATGACGGATCATAATTCATACATTTTTTTCGCTTCACGGATAAGATCAAGTTAATCTTGCAAGAGAAGCAATTGTTTGAATATTTCGCTCGTGTTTTCGAGATAGTAGTAGAGTCGGGCTAAAATTTAATTTAATAAATTTAATTTACGTATAAAATTTAAGTGAATAATTATATCTATTTTCTTTTTTAAAATCCATAAGAAGAAGAATGATGTAATAAAAAATGTAATAAAATTTTATTTCTTACTATTATCTACGTGCGATAAATACATGTCTATGTATTGGTAAAAATTGCTGAGAGAAATGACTTTTATCGATTTATCACTTATTTTCGCTATTTATAAACTTATCAATTGCAGATTTCAAAGGCATTAAATTTTATTGATAAAGTCTTCAAGTCTCTTCGATAGCTACTATAGAAAACAATGGCATTTGTTTCTGTTCTCGTTTGACTTACAGACAAATACATTTTTGTATGTTTTTTACAGCTGTACATTCTTGCAATATCTCATGATATCGAAGAGAGTCAAAAAAAAAAGAATGAGTAACGGTTATTATTAGTCACTTCAACAAACAACTTTGTTAGCGTTATTTTTTTTAAGTACGGTAGAAATGTAACATATATCATGTCTTTTGCTATATATTTTCAATATACTAAAAGAGTTACGAGAAGAAGAAATAAATATGTAACAAGTTGTAAATAACTTGAATAGGAAAATTCAAATTCAATCAAAAAAAATTTGTAATTAGTTGTTATTATTTATTTGCTATTGTATTGTAATAGTTAATAGAAAGTTTGATAAATATGAAATGATAAACACAATTGAGAATATTTTTACATAACTAAGCACTAAGTTTAAATCACATATTACTAATTGTTATTAATCATAATAAATATAATTTAATGACATTGATACGTTATACATATATGTACATTTAACAATTTTTATAATATATAAGATGTAATTTAGTTTTGTATTTCAAACGTGATTTATTAATCAATTGTTTTTATTTAATTATTCTCGTCGTTATATTTGTCGTTAATGAATTGAAAACACAATTTTTATTCGTAATAATTTTGCAATTTCAAAAAATTTCTTTTTAAAAATACTCATTAAAGCGAAATAAACATAAAATAAATTTAACAAATTTAATAAGCAAATAGTTCGTGATAAATACTATTGAATTATTAGCGAAAAATGCGAGTAGAATTGCAAATAATGAAAATGAAATAAATTGCACATCTGTACATGTATGTTGTATCTGTATATGTAATGTTGGTAGTTTGTTGTATAAAGTAATGGATGCCATCACATATTATGTTATCTCTTTGGAATGTAATAAAATTGCGAGATAGCAATATAGAACGTAATAACATTGCAAGATACGCGCCATGTACAAGAATACGAGAATAAAATTACGTCATGAAAATCGGCGATATGCTTACATAAAATTTTAAATATTTTTCACCTGTTAAATTACTGTTTATTTCGTTGATGTCATCACAGTCATCACAATGATAATAATTGTGCTTTATCATGATTAATATTACTAGGAGCTATGTTGATATGTGTAGATGGATAATGCATATCATTATCTTTTACACAAACATGTGGATTTTACTTTTTCCACTTAACAACATAACACCTACAGATTTTTATATTCCAGATAAATATTTAAACAAATATGTTTTCTTATGTAAAACTCAATTTACAGCATTCTCATATCTTTATAAATTTTAAATTGAACTTTTATAAAAATTTTTTAATGTTATCGTACTATCATTAGCTACAATTATAACTTGCTATTGTTATTAAAAAAAATTGCTTATTTTTATTAATACATCTGATTAATTAATATATCTCACAATTCTTATCGTAAGAGTGGAAATTACAAAACTAATATGTAAATGGAAAAAAATTGGAAAAGGTTGTGACATGCTTATTAATTATACGAAGAAAATTGTTGTTTATCATTTCTTGTAATAAATTTTGGAAACTGTCCATGTCTAATCTCGCAAAGGATGCACAGAGATTAAATGGAGAAAAATATATCCAGAGAGAAAAAAATATGTAGCGAAATTATATAAAGAAGAAGAGAAGATGCAAGTAAAAGGCTTCGCCTTTTAAGCAAATGTAAATTAATTTCGGAAAATTCAGTTTTACTGCCATGCTATCATTCTTGATACGATCAAAAATGTTCTTTCATTTTACTTTTATTTATTTGGATAAAAAATATTGAACAATATTTATTACAACAGAATTTGAACATAATGATATTATTTTATTATTTAAAATATTTATACAAAATTATAACAAATTTTGTTTAAGAAGCGATATTATGTATTTACAATTAAAGTAATTTTTTTCCTTTTAAAAGTTCACAAAAGTTTTCAAAATACACATTATGAGATGTAAATCGAAATGTAAAAAGGAAAAAAAACTTTAGCCAATTATGTTTCTTAGGCATGCAATTAAACAGTTAACAAATAATTATATGTCTAACATTTAGTATTTCTTCTTTAAATAGAAATTAATTTTGATTATAGATACGGCGTAATTTGATGGTATAAGTTTAATTTTTTATGCTGAGAAAGTAGACGATTTTTCTTTTTTTTTTGCAATTTCGCGGCAAATTATTCGCCGAAATAACGAGGAGAAACACCACGTGAGAATAACATGGACGCGGCAGTAGACTTTGGTTTTAGTGTGTGGGTATATTCGAAAGTAGTAGTAGAGAGCAGCAGGGGTTAAGTATAGTTTATACACACCGCCGCGTTGGCTGACTATTTCTGGCGGCGCCAGCGAAATTCCGAGGCCCTAAATTGGTTATCGCGCTTACCGCTTAACGAGAATGTTTGCCACGAAAGAGAAGGTCGACCATCTTTTTTTTTATTATTTTCCTCTTTCGCACCTATCGCGTATATATATATATTAAATTTTTTTTTAAGAGATAAAGACATCAAAATTGAGAAAAAAGAAGAATCATATAATGATCAAATACAGTAATGATTGTCGTGATAATAAATGATAATAATGATTGCCGTAGAAAAAAGCATATTTGACGCAACTATAAATTTTGAAAAAAAAATGAATTAAAAAATATAATATGAATTACATTTTAAGAATAAACTTAAGTATAAATGTGAGAAAAATTATCCTTAAAATATTAAATCATTTATTATTATAAAATAATACAAGGAATATATAATATTTTTTTTAATGTCAAAGGTTTATCTGTAATTTATAATATATGAATATTTAAATCGAAATAAATGCGAAAAGGACTATATTTTTTGGAGATTTGTCAGAACAAATGCCGGAGAGAATATAATTATTGGTATCAAAAATTTTCATTTTTTCATGTTAGAAACTCTCGCAAATAATGATATGTAATTTAAACTGACTGTTTCTAAAAAACATTTTTACAAAGCGAAATTGTAATATTTGCATTACAAACCGAGGAGAGAGAGAGAGAGAGAGAGAGAGAGAGAGGAGGGGAGGGGAGGTGGG